GACAATTACCTGTAATCGAGTGAATTTACGGATTAATTCAATTAATTTATAACTTGTGTAATTTATTTAGAACGAAACGCATTTTTTAGGACGTGTATTCATGGAATTGCTCGAGTGTCAAATAATTACAGGGAAGGAAAAATAGCTGAACAGTAAGTGAAGAGTGGAATTCTCGAAACTTCCGATAATTATTGGTTTAGAGCAGCGATTGTTCGATAATTAATAGCTGTTGTTCATGGTTCAACGTCCAATTATTTCGTTTAATTGCCACGACAAGAAAAACATTTCATTCGAATTTGCGGAAATGATTTTAATTAATTATCTGAATTACTGTCAAATAGATTGATCAGTAAAAATTGCAAAAATTTTCTGATTAATTTTCTGATATTTATTTGACAGAAACAATTAAACGAGATTTCGTTTGTTCAACTTAATTAATCAATTTATCCACAGAAAATTGGTTTTTTGATTTGATTACATATATTGCGGTGGAAATTGAAATATTTACGAAGCACGTAATTTGATATTCTCAGGTAAATAATTGAATTTCGTTTTCATTACGGTGTAGTTCATCAATTTTTCCCCCGGATTGTTCATTTAAATATTATCTCTGCTCCTTAATTAACAATTTTCAAAGCTATTCCACCTGATCGATAGTGAAACGTTTTAAAATATAATTACATGGCTGTTATCGATTGAACGACCGAGTGACTGCCTCTGTTGATAATTATTTCCGATTAAAAAAATTTATAACAAACATAACAACAATAAGAGTAATATAATCAATCATTATTATAAATGACTATAATTTTTTAATGCATCGCTAAAACTTGGGGTGAAATAAAAATGGCTAATCGATAACGGGAGCTCTCATTTTTCCTGGAAAATGGAGTGAGAGAAAATTCTCATCATTTGCCCTACACCCTGGAGTTGGCAATCGAACGAAATTCTCCTCGAATTAAATCCTCCCCATCACCCCCACCCACACTATTATCTAGCTTTCACACAAGACGAAGAGAAGATTGGCTGATAGGAGACAGTAGTTTCCTCAAGGTGCACACCATATCCTTCATCGTGTCTTCCAAGACGTAATGGCCGACTAGTCCCGGGGCTCCACTACTCGTACAACGGACGACAGTCTGCCAGATTTTTAAAAGAGAATAAGAGAGAGATGGGAAAAGGGTAAAGGAGGGAATTTATATGGGAAGAAAAGCCAGGGAAAATAGCCAGGGCTTCCACGGGCTATTTCCATCAGTGCCTTGTCTCACTTTTTCTTTTTTAACTGTACACTTTTCACACCGATTTTAAATTATTCCTTGGAAAGAAAGCTTTAGCTTTTACAAATTGCCACTGCATTTTTTCGAATCCAGGGGATGTTATTTAATTAGTAAATTAGAAATTTAATTAGGAATCCAAAAATTTTCTGCTGTTGGCAATATTTCAGGTGAATTTTTTTTTCGTGGAAAATCTAAACTTTTTTATGGATGGATAGGTGGAAGTGGGGGGTTCGGGGGAGGGGGTGGAAGTCTGGGGAATTGAGAAAAAAGAGGAAATGTTGAGCGAGGGTTAGCACCGCATTTCCATGGTAAAAGTTCGAGGATCATTTGCTGGAGGTACTGCAGTTGGATTTAGGGGTTGAAGAGAGGATAGATGAGAGGGTGAGAGGGTAAAGTTTACCTTCCTCTAGCGTTGAAAATCTCGGAGGGAATTCTTTCGCTATTTGCAGCGCTTAAAAGTCGACATAAACTCGAAAATTGTGCAATTTTCAACTGCTTTTTTCTCCCACTGTTTTCTGATGGGATTTTCTACCTCCGGGAAATTGTTAGAAAATATTTGGCAGGAAAATGAGGAAGGGTTTCCCGTCCCTGACAAGAATGTGATTTTTTCAAGAAACATCCCACAAAAAATTCGGTATATTTTTCCTCGAGGTGAATAAATCGGAAAAAATTTCATTTTATTCGATTTTTTTTATTTGATTTAATTGCAGACTCAGGATTCACACCGAAATATTTTTTAAATTAGCAAACGTGGGACATTCGCCGGTTGCTTGAATATGCACTCATGAATTCAATCTCCTCAGTGGAGCGAGAAGGATTCTGAAAATATCCTATCAACCCGGTAAATTTAATTATTTTCATGCAAAATTCAATGAATTTTAAAGGCGAGAGGGTAATTAATTCCACAGAGCTTCAATCCTCCTACACTCCCACTCGCTACTTTCGTCGCGAATTATACCATCTAATTAATTAGACGTATCCAATCACAGTGATTAACTGTTTACCGTATTAAAAAAAGTCTGATGAATACAATTAAGACAATGGGAATACATTAATTAGATTCTGACGTGCCCCCCGATGGTCACATATTCAAATTAGTTCGTAACGCTCTGTGTCATATACCATGTGCTTGTACTAGACATTCTCAGCGGGAGGTTGTCTCCCATAAATTCCCCCAGAAAACCCAATTTTCAATTTGTCAATAAAAAATTCCCGATTTTACAAATTGAAAATGCAAAATTACGAAATCTCCACGATTTCCAGAGTTCCAACGATTGATTATTTTTTGCGGTCGAGTGAATGAGAGTTGAACGAAACCTAGATAAAAGTGAAAAATAAATAATGTCCGTAAAAGCTCAGAGGTAAAAGAAAAAATTCATGAAAAAAAAAGTCCGTTAATGCAGAAAACAAAGTGTCTACTCGCGACTCAAAGAAATATAAAATTCCCGTCGCATTTTATAATCCGCCCTTTCCACTTTTCCGTTATATTTCCTCATTTTTGTTTTCGTCTGACTGTTTCTTTTTGTTTTATTCGGAGGAGATATCGTTCCAAGCAATAGGGACAGTTGTCCAATCAATGCGCAAAACTCTGTACTGCGTCGTTACGTTTCGTTTCGCCTAGTGACAAAAGCGGTCTGTATAAATTCCCTACAGTACACATGGAAATTGAAAAGAAGTAATGGCAGTCGACCGGGCATAACGGAAAACTGTGAGGAAAAACAAATGGCTAGTGAAAAAACAGTGGATTCGAGGAGAGGCGGAAAGAATAATTAAATTGCCTGCGAATGGCCAGCCATTTTTTAAAATATATAATATATATATAATATTTCATTACGTCATCTCATTCAAAGTGATGTTTATTAACAATATAATGTTTACATAACACAATATAATATTAATTATGAATTAAAATGGAGAATTAAAATGTTTAGAATTTTTTACAATTGAGTATTGGGTCGGTGGATGAGGTGGAGATGTCGGGAAATTGTTGGGAAAAACAAATACCCAGGGGGAGGAGAAATGGAACAGAAGTTTAGAGGAAGAAAGGAAAATATAATTGAATAGAGGAGAAAGGGCCAGTTAGTCTCGGACGTGGAGTGAGTGAAATGTGAATTTCGCTTTATCCACTTTTCAATGGAAAAACTGGATTAAATGGTCGGGAAGGATCCTCTTCACTCGTTCATTACCCGAGTGCTACGGCTACAACAGCATTCTTATTTGACGTTAAAGTCCAATGATATTTCTCTTTATTAAAGAGGTAATTGGGGTATGTGTGTGGATGAAAGTCTATATAAAAGTCCTATGAAAATCTCGTTACATTTTCAGGTACTCGATGTTTCAGTTTCGGGAAAATTAAATAACAGGGAAAAATGTATTTCTGGAGGATGTAATATGTTCACAGGGGTAAATTAAATTTCCCGGGGGGCATGTTAAACTCATTGAGAAATGAGTTACCAGGGATATTGAATTTCTGTGGAGCTGAACTGGAAATTTCTAGTGATGACGATGGAAAAAATTCGGATGAATTTTCATCGGGCACATGAGGAAAATCGTTAAGTGAATATCGTTACTTCGGTTCTTTGACATCCCATTAAAATCCATCTCCTTTACAACAGCTGTAGAATTATTTATCACTCAAGCTTGTCACAATTGCTACTCTACCTCTCGTTTTTGCAACTCTAAATTTTTAATTATGTCGGTTTTATTGGAAGCCAGGTTGATAAATGAATGAAACGTTTATATAAGAGAAATTGAATTACATTTTAATAGGATGTCACAAAAGCCAGAGAGATCAGTTCATATCATTTAATGAATATTCATCTAGAATTTCGTCATGAGACCACATATTGTTGTTTAAAAAATAAAATAAACTAAAAAATCAGTTTCCAAAAATTTTTTTGCCCGTTGAAGCTCCAGAAAAAAATGGTATGACGCATTTTTTTGAGGTGACCAATTTTCTATTCAAGAGAATAATTAAGAATTAATTAAGAATTAATGAATAATTAATGGATAATTAATGAATAATTTATCAATAATCAATTAATCGGCACAATATTTACAGATTTTAAAAAAACTAGCACAAAAGTGGTACCATGGATTTTATCATGGGATGGGGATTAGCCATTGGTACTTGGTGATGGTGCGCCCACGAGAAAACGACAACGCAACGGGTGTAAGCGCCGCCAACTCTCAGAGACCTCCAGAGTGCTCTACGACTTCGGCGCGTTCACATCCTCTCACCAATAACTCAAATTCACCACATTCGCGCCAAACTCTCACCACCCGAAAAATCACCACCATTTTTCAAAAAATTTAAAAAAAAAAAAACACATTTTTATACAATTTTTGCTATTTCAACCACCAACAATTTTTTGGTACTGAAATAAATATTTATTAACATCTCAAGTGAACAAGTGGAAGCTGGTGTACACCGTTGCACCCGTTGATGATGTGATAATAAATAGTGTATCAATTTTTTAATGTTTTTCTCATTCTCCAGTGATACGTGTGTGAAGGACACGGGAATTGAAAAATAATCGGATTTTTCGGGAATAAAATTGGTGTGTCGCTATCTCTGCGTTCGCCAGTTGTATTATTTTTTTTTTTTGCGCTTTTTTGTTTCGTTTTCATAGACTCTACAAGTGCAGCTATCGGTGTGGAGGTGGGGGAGTTATTGTGTGAGGGGGAATTGTATTTGCAAACCGTTGGGTAGAGGGGGAGGGGGATGGGTGGCAACGATTTTTCCAATTGCGTTTCTCGTTTTTCCGATTGGTGACTGATTTTATACCGATTCTCTGGCACTCGTGTGCATTCTGACAAGAGAGTACAGATCATAACGCCCGTATCGCTGGGTCACTGAGGAATTTATGATGTATTGAGAATAAAAAAGAAAATAAACGAGGGGTAATAGAATAAGGGCCACTTGTGGGACAATAATTTGAGGGAATAGGTACTGATCACTGCCATTTTTTTTAAATAGTCATGATGAATTAATTAATTGAGGGGTGAAGGGTTTACGGTTTTATCATACGATTTTGGTGATTGGGGTGTCATTTGGGTGGCTGTTAAAATATCGTGGGGGAGAAAATTGTTTTAGTGACTTTCTTCAGTGGCGGAGTGATTGCTTTGGGAGTCTGTGGAAGAGTTTTCAATTTGTTTTGAGGGCCCAGGGACTTGTTCAGTGAAAATGAAGTGGTGGACAATTGTTGTTTTTTTTATTGGATCCACGTGGGCGGGGAATTCAATTGATGGCACTAAATGTAGGGATATACAGACGCAGAGGGATTTGGATCTTGATGGGGTAAGATTTAATTATTTATAATAAGATTTTATTTTTTTCTTCAGGATGTATAAATAAAATACACGTAGACTCGTAAATTCTGTAATCACCTGCGCAATTGGACAGTGAAATTGGGTTCAATTAATTTTTAACAGTGATATCAACTTCATTCCTAAAATGATCTCAATGGCCACGGATTTCTATCCCGTGTCAAATATTGAATTCAACGGAGCTGAGATAAGGCGATTAAAACCCGCACACCGCATTCAGACAATAGTGGAATTATTCCTGGAATTATTCCCTAATGAATGACCAGACAAATGAGCGAGGGGAATTTATAAAAAACCTCTTATCAAAGAAGTTAATCGGCATTTTGTTTAATAATCCTCAGCATATTCTCAGAATTTGTGTAATTCCCCAGCAAAATGGAGTCAATTTTTTTAAGGCGAATTTATGAATTAATTTATAGAAAAAAAATATGGGAAACCAAGTGAGACTTTATTAAGGGTATGAATTCATCAGTCTATTATGTCTCGTGGCAAATGTATAATTGGGAAGTGCATTACCCGAAAAGTCAGTGGCTGTGGGAATTTATTCTGAAATGATAAAAAAAATATGCTCCACTGGTGCGACTTCCTGAAACTCCTGAAACCGCAAGAAATAATTTTATTAAAATCTCAACCTCACTCGGAAAGAGTATGAATCAATATGTTCCAAGATGGAGGAGGTGGATGGCAAGGGAAAGGACGTGGAAAACGAAAAAGTTGCATGATTTATTCACGCTGAGATTTCAACTCAATAGATTCTGCAAGACGTCTCTCATCACATATTCGTCTGACTGGATTTATCACTTCAAACGCTAATCTCCTTAAAACATTTGAGGAATTTTTTGCCTTTGAGGATTGAGGGAGTGCCGAACTTTGAGGAGTTCAAAGAGAAAATAAAAATTCCAACGAGAATTTCCTCAATATTCCCGTCCAATGGGAACGTCATTTCTTAGCGACTCCTGTCACTCATCAAATTAACGAAAACCGGAGAATTAATTAAGAATTAATTTATATTGAATTAAAATAAAAAGCCAGAGGTAATTTATGCCAGGAATTGCGTCAAGTGCACAACCCAGTGAAATTACTGAACGACGACAGATATATCGGGTGAACAATACTTCTGTCACACTTCCGGGCAGTCTCTCCTTCCCACACTGAGAGAAATATTCGATAAAAATTACGTGTATTTTCCGTAATTCTGGAGCGAAATGTGGTTGTCGTAAATTTTACGGAACCGTCACGTAATTTTTATCTAAAGTCACGGAATTTTTGGTGTTCCATAATTTTTATCTGAATTATCGATGAAAAATAACGATACCGTCACTTAAATTTTTCGAATCAACTCCGTAATCGGTAAGTGAACTGAAAGTTCCGTAATTTTTACTCAATATTTCTCTCCGTGCATTGCTTTATTCCTTCACCCCTTTCATCCCCTTCTCATCAGCCCCGGTGGCAGCCTCTTCTGAGTATCCACTTTTACTAACGTCCACTGGAATATGCCGCCTTCTGAGATTTTTACCACCACTACATCCAGAACGAGCGTCACTCCAATGCCCCACCCCATCATCCTGCCAAAGGGTAGAAAAAAAAAAAACCTGTCGGGGGTGGAAAAATAAAGTTTACCACGTTCACTTCACAATACCCTTTTTGCACCCCCTCATAATTCATCCATCTTTTTTGCTTCTACTTTTATTGAGTCTTATTAATGTCGATAATAAATTTTTTATGCCAATGTCGATATCGACGTCGACAGTGATATGCAATTTTCCGCTGTTTAATTTGTCTGTTAAACTCAACTCGAGATCAATTATCCCAACACAATTCCCTCCATCATTTATAATAATATCTCACCCCCTTGTGCTGTCACACTTAATCCAGGACTGCAAAAATATTTATAATAACCCAGGATTATTAGATTATATATACTATTCAGAGTTCTCCAACAAAAAATCCATATTTTTACTCCCTAAATTAATCAAGAACTTTTTGAATTAATTTCCCCACCCGCCGTACCACCAATTACCTCCGCAAATTAAGAATCTCCACTTCATTTCGCATTTTTATTCACTTTTCGTTACCAACGGGCGCCAAAATTAAATACATAAATTGGTGAGAGGGTTTTTACAGTGGAACCTTTCCGCCATCTCCACTCGACTCTCTATCCACCCGCACCTTGAATTGTACATGCGTCGTTTCCCTGAAGAGATTTTGACGGAAAAAGAAAAAAAAAACGAGGAAGTCGTTGTCAGCTTCTGGTCTTATGACTGCGTGTACGTGACGTCAATTTGGAATGCTCTCGGGTCGGGACGGGAGATGTCTCCAGTTCGTTATAAATGAACTGGGTTAAAGATACGACAAGACGGGGAATGAGACCAGCGGGGAATTGAGAATTGTTCAGTCTAAAATGAAATACAAAATAGCGGCGAATTGTCTTGAGCTATTTATTTGGATTCAGTAAGATGATTCTAGTTTTTTTAGGATTCCCCTAGCGCCAGTCTAGCGCCAATCTAGTGTCCGTCTAGCGCCCGTCTAGCGCCCGCCTAGCGCCCGCCTAGCGCCCGTCTAGCGCCCGTCTAGCGCCCGTCTAGCGCCCGTCTAGCGCCCGCGTAGCGCCCGTCTAGCACCCAACCATCAACCCCTAAATACCCGACTACAATCCACGACCTCTCTCCACATTTAATTCTGAATATCGAAGCCTGACGATCTCGACTTGACCCACATGCCCCAATCTTACCCCCGGCTATAATTCCCGCTATATTACCTGACATCAACCATAATTTTTTCCCCATTCCAAATGATTTTATCATTTGAAGGATCCAAACGACATCATGTGCACACCCCGAATAGGCACGATAGAGACGTGCTTGCGATTAGCATAAGCCACGTTTAAAACCCATGCACTGAATATAAAGCATTGCCCTCCCCTCCCCTCCCCTTTCCCCCCCATTTCCGTCATCCCTCAGTACAATCTCACCCTGCGCTTGAGCTCAAGGACGAGTTATGGGCAAGCTGTTGCGAGAAATGGACGAATGAGGGCACCTGTCGATGTATCGTTATACCCCCCAACCTCTTCAACCCCTTCAACCCCCCACCCCCACCCCTCAACCCTTGTGAAACAAGATGCCCTTCTCTCTTTACGCTGTTACTTGGTACTACGCTGGAATTTATGAAGGTGAAATCACTCTTTATGATTTATGGAGAAAACCTCCGGTGCCTCTTCAATCTCAAATACTCACAGCTTCAGTATTATATTTCTTAAGGTATTTGTTCTTTTCTGTTCGTACTTTATTTGCACTGTCGTATTACATAACAACTTGCAGGTCGACGAGGTGATATGAGATGGAGATTTTTCTTTTCAACTTTTATCTTTACGGGGAAAGGAGACAATGGAGAACAGGAAGGGCGTTATTGCTGAAGTATTTTACTTTGAGGAAATGCTCGGGATATTCAGCCTTTTTGTTTATTAGGAAGCGATTTTATTACAGCTTCAGAAATTTCAGGCCAATTTATTGGAAGTCATTATGATTTTTATGTTCTCAGATTAATTCCGCGATTTGTAGACACGGAGAGAAATATTTAATAAGAATGACTTTGAATTTCTCCAGTCGATTTCGTAATCGCGGAGTGATCTGAGAGTTCCGTAATTTTTACTAAATATTTTTCTCCGTGGATCGATTATAAAGTCACTTATTCGGGCACTCCGGAAAGTGATGAAATATCACACATTAAATTGACCATCCCAGGGTCCGGGCAATTTAATCGACCTCGAAGACGATATCAACAGGGTCGAGGGCGAACTACGTGCGTGAAATGGAAGATATTTAGGTGAAGGCCAATGTGACACTGGATGTGTGATAAAAGGGGATGAAAGGCCAATACAAATTCACCCCCGAAGACCCCCAGGAGAGTGTGATAACAATTCTACCAGAAACTGTATAAATTCCCCATCACCACACATCTCCACTTGAGAATGAATCAAGCTCAGACGAGATGTCGAACAATCCTAGAAAATTCAACAGAACTACTCCATTGAAAATGGCGTGTGACCCGGTGATAGAACACGAGTTTTATACCAAAGACCGATGACTATCGAAAACCCCATCCCATCTATCTCCAGGGTTTCTTCGATTCAAACTGATCCCCAATTTTCTCGACACGCGAGGAGACAGTGGTATTATGACGGAAACATTCAATCCGACATGTTTAACATTACGGTTCATTCAACAATTTTTTTTTTAAATTTATTTATACCGTATTTGCACTATCTGACAAACTCCTACACCAGATGCCACCGAAATTCAGTCTTTCTCTGGGAATGAGATTTACAGTTGTCAGTGGTGTAGAATTTACCAGTGGAAAAGTTGTATATGCAAAACCACATAGCAAATTCCGAAAGCTCACAGTTAAAAGCTCGGACACGGTATTATTCTGGGGTGTATGAGAATTCAGTGGGGATTTCTACTCTGGTTAAAGTGTTACCGTAACGTCAAAACTTTCTGGCTTTCCGGGAATTATACATTTTCATCATACTTTGTATTATCATTGTCGACATTATGAGCAATGTCCGGTTTTCTTAATTTCAAAGGGTAAACAATGGGTTTATTATCATCGCTTTCGGGGTATCAACGTCAATCTTGTGGCTGAGGTAATTATGAGATGAATAATTTATGACGTAATTAAACAATTGCCTTCGCTGGATTTCTTCTTCAATTTTAAATTTTAAAAATCCAAAAATTTTGAGTGGATTTTACTGATGAGTGGAATGGTCAGTTATCAATATTTATTATATTATTATTAATGATTTTTTTTAGTTTTACCGGTTTATGGGGTGTTTTCTAGGGGAAGTTGGGATGTATTAGAGATTTAATTTATGATCGATTTTCAATGAGGCGGGGGAAAAATTGTTGATGCAAATGATACAGTTCAGGGTTCAGGGGATATCTGAAGAATTTTCCAGTCAATGTACTCTCGATT